GATTCCCCAGGCAGAGTGAATCTTCCATGATCCTGTTAGCTGATGTGGTTTAGGAAGCTAGCTTTGCTTAGCTGCTGAAGCACACAACTTAAGTAACTTGATTAGAGGCACAGAGTTGTCATGGTGAGGTCTAAACTCGGGCTCCTCTGTATTCACAGCCAGTCTTCTTATCCTGACACTCACGTACCCGCTAAGCATCACTAAAGCCATCCGTCTACTTGGCATCTGAGAGAGGAACAGGTCTCATTTTTTCCATTTATCTCAATAAATCCTGAGTTTGACTTCCTGACACCTCATGTTGTGCAGGGCTCATCTGAGCTTCTCTGTCTATCATTTGCACTGTTTTTAGTACACCCCTAGATGATCCCCAAGGGGTTTATGTTCTTGCATTGTTTATGAGTGTTTTTAAATTAGTGTAAAAAGTAATGGGTGCCATGGTGTCTTTTCCATACATACCTCATTGTACTTGCTTCTTCTTTGTTCTCTTCAACCAGTGTTTTCCATCGTCTTCTGCTCTCCAGTCACCTGTATTCATTACATTCTCTCCCCTCTCATGGGCCCCTTTCTATTTTCATCATACACATACATACATATACACGTACATACATGCATACACATACATACACACATTTGCATACTTATATACACGTATGCATATATACAATCACACATATGCATACCCATATGCAGATACACATGCACATATATACCCATATATATACACATATGCAGATATACATATATGTACACAGGTATGTATGTATGTGTGTATATATGTATACCATGCACATATACATACAAACATATACAAATACACATGTACACACAGATACATACATATATGCATATGTGCACATAGTCACACAGGTACATACATATACACATAGGTACTAAATATACATGCATAAATGTACATACACATATTTACTCTTCTACATAGGTACACATATGCACAGTTATACATACATATACACACACACATATACATGTATCCACACAGACACACATACACAAATACCCACATGTGTGCACATAGGTACACACATGTTCATGTGTACACATATACACACACAGATACACATGTACACAAATATGCATGTGTACCCACATAAATCCACATACACATATACACACACGTCATACATATATACACATACACATATACACAGTGGTACACATGAGCATACGCTCACATGCATGTGTACACACATGCACACATGTATCCCTATGCATATATTTGCGCCATTATTATTGAACATTAGCTGGTACAAACCTCACTGCTATTGGACTGGCTGTTACCATGGCCCTTTATTTTCATCTGGGTCCTTGTATAGTTCTCCCTTCTGTGGTTATTTGTAGTAGTGACATTTTGTGTCTAACGGTGCACATATCACTCCATGATATGTTAGGCTGTTGTCTATATCACATTAATGTGACTAGATGTTAATTCAAAAGTATTTTTACTGTGACTTTTATTAGGGTGTTGAATAAGGGACTGTGTTGTACATATTGGAAAGTATGCAAACTATAGAGTTGGGTGGTTTGGATTGACACCTTGGCCCAGTGGTTCACTAGTTATGGTCTCTGAGGCAAGTACTCATTACTGATGCACAGTCAGTTCCTAGAACTCACTCATTGTTCATTCTCTTGGGGTGGCGAATGATTTTTTTTTTGTAGGATTCTACACATATTCCCCAGACGATATTGGCTCAGGAACCTATGCAAATTCTTGAGTTGGATGAGTTAGTCTGCCTTTCCCTGTCAGGATGCTTCAGGGTTGCAGACTGGTGGGGTTTTTGGAGTGTTGCTTGTACACACACACACACACACACACACACACACACACACACAAGGAAAAACAGCAGCAAACTGCACGTCATCAATCTCTTGCCTTCTGCCAGAATTCCAAACTAAAAGCATGTCTTTGAAACTACAGTGTTTGCTCATCTTAAAGGGCTAGGGTATGAGCTGTTAGAAATCAGGACCCATTAAATGACCAGTTTCACTTCAGCGGTGACTCAGTGTGTGATCATCTTTGAGTCTGTAAAGAATAAGCTGACAGATGCCAAGTGAAGACCTTCCAGTCAGTGAGCTTAGCCTTCCTGGCTTCCTCCAGCCGGGCTTCAACTTAAAGTGTTTGGCACCTGTAACAGGGAGGGTTGTTTAGGAGGTCTGGCTTGGAACTTGTGGCACTCATTCTTCCAAGGGGCTTTAGGGATGTCTTCTTTGCTTAAAGTCCCTTTTCGGGGGGACCTGGGAGAATATTTGTCTTTGGAAATCGGATGCTAATCCCAATAGTCTCAACTAGATATTGGAAGGGAGGAGTATTTCTGTTGTCCTGGGGAATCTGTTCTCTCAGCAGTTCACAAGAATGTGGAAGCTGGGCAGGGACCATGGGTGGGCAGAGAGGAAGTGCAGAATGTTTGATGATAAGTAGGCAAAGAAAATACCCAGGATGATTTTGCTTCCGAAACACCAGAAGATGTTGGATCAAAGCAGATGGCATTGGTACAGCTTGGGAAGGGTCTTTCCAGCTGAAGGAGGCTCATTTCACCAAAAGATGAGAGGCACTGATCTATAAAAACAGAAACAAGGAGAAAAACAAAGGCCGGCAGAGAACAATTGCAGGAGGGGCTGGAGGTGGTGGCATGACTGGAAATGGCCAGTCCATCCGTTGGTAAGCACAAATTTATACAGAGCACTCTGCAGAGGAAGGGATAGCCACCCCTGTGTAGATCACAGCTGAGCTTGTATCCTGGCACAAGAATGATCAAGGCAGTGTTGGGGCACCCCGTGAAAGCGTCAGCCAACACTGGAAGCAGCAAGGTCCCTGCTATAGTTTAGCAGGTTGCCAAGACCTTAGGATTGATGCCTTGGAAGAAGTGGCCCTGTCTGTGGACTTGTTTGTATAGATGTCTCAGGACTTGAGGGAGAACCTCACGAGGGACTCGGGGTTGGCATTACTGGTGACAGTCTATCCCACACATGCTATGGCTGGCAGAATCACAAGTCTGTAAAATGAGCTCTACTGAGCCAGAGGCCAGGCAATCAATCACTCAGCATTTGGTGCTGCGGTGGGGTTTGTGTCAGAGGGTAGTGCAGAGGCGTTCTGAGGAAGTTTAGGTAGGAGAGAGAGTAAATTCAATGATAGATGAAAGTTCTGCCACACAGGAACTGTTGGTTATGAACTTTTAAAGTGGAATTTAAAATAACTGTGCTATCAGCATTTCGTCACCTTTAGCAACATGCAGTGTGCTTTTCAAGCAAATCCTACTTTGAGAAATAAACACAGGTCATGTCTAACCCCATCTGGTCATGCTTTTATATAACCAAAATGAAAAGTATGACTAAGTACAGTAGCCTTCCATAGTAAATATCATTTTACTATCCTAAGATTTTTCCACAAGGCAAAAACACAGAGTAGACAGGACCACAGGGAGGTTTTTTTGTTTTTGTTTTTGTTTTTGAGTTTACAAAGCCTCTACCATGTGTGCTGAGGACTGTTCAAATTCTTTCAACAATTCCAGCACCACTGACACTGCAGAAAAGAAAACCGCTTTAAAGCCAGCCTACCGTTGATTTACTTAGACTAAGAGAACTCTTGTCTTTGATACTGGCCAGGACAGAATGACAAACCTCAGAAAAGCGTGTGTGTGTTTTCATCATTTGAAAAGCATATAGGGGATAGGCTGTGATGGGAAACAAGCTATGAGGAAATCCCAGAATTCTTCTTGCCTGGCTTTCAAACACTACATCGTGGCATATATTTTTCTGAAAATCTTGGATACTCAGGGGACCATATTTTCTCATAAAACCTCTCCATTTTGTCATGGACGATGGCCTTGAGCAGAGCTGATAAGGATGAGGCGGGTTCCGGTGCTTTCTGCTGGTCACACTGGATTCCCGGGAGACACTCTAATCCGGGAGGATGTGCTGCCAGACCCCTGCTGTGTCTTGCCATTCTTGGTTTAGGATTTGCAGAGAAGTTCACAGACAATGTCTTGATATTACACAGAGCATTTACTGCTGTACTCATCTCTGAACATCCACGGTTGTCCTATTTGGGGAATAAAATCCCCCTTTCCCTCTCACCCTCTTTCCTTCTCCCTCCCTTCCTCTGCAGAGTGCTCTGTGCTCTGTAGAAATTCACTGATGGACTGGCCATTTCCAGTCCTGCCTCCACCTCCGGCCCCTCCTGCAATTCTTCTCTGCCAGCCTTTGTTTTTCCTCCTTATCTTGTTTTTGTTTTTATAGATTAGTGGCTCTCATCTCTTGGTGAAATGAGCCTCCTCGTGATTACCACTGCCCTAGTCTGTTCAGACTGCTGTAACACAATACCATAAAAGGAGTGGCTCGGAAACAACAGGGGTTTATTTCTTACTGCTCTGTAGGCTGAGGCAGCCAAGATCAAGGTGCTGGCAGACTTGGTGTCTGCTAAAGGCTGCCTTTCGGTGCATAGAAAGAAGCCGTGTTCTCGTGTAGGAGAGCTGAAGAACTGTACTTTGAGCCCCTTGTACGGGCACTGATCCTGTTATTAAAACTCCATTCTCAAGGCTACCCACCCCACAACCCCTGTCTCTTACCATTTTAGTACAGCTTCAGTCTGAACCTAGGAACTTGGAGAGAGGGGATACAGTAACTTTAAAGTTTGCTAGTCATCCAACCAGAGTGTCCTTCTTTGCTCATTAGCTGACAGACACGTTTCTGCCTGTCAGGGTTTATTGGGGGCTCCGCTGTTGCCCAGAACAGCTACAGGCTGCAGGACAGGCTGCAGAGCTGTTGTCCAGGAGGACTCTGAAGCTTCAGGGGGTTCTGCAATGATGCTGCCAGCAGGTGTAGTCCTCAGGGACACTCCCCCAGGTGCAGTTCTCTTCCCTTTAAGGAAAGAGTACTACCAGACCCTGCTCAGTCACAGGTGTGAAGCCACCATGACTCCTGCAGGAGGGTCCTTCAGAGCATCTCGATCTCACGTGCCCCTTCCTGACTTATCATCTTGGCAGGACCCTCCTTCAGCAACTTCAGAAGCTTCAGACTTTGGTGATGGGGAAGGTCTCTCGAACCTGCAAGTTAGCTGGCACACAGACTGGCACCTGCCTCATGGTGAGTTTCCCAAAAGGACTTCCTCTGGCAAGTCCCCTCTTTCTAGACTCCTCTACCTTGAAAATACTAAAAATGAATGAAGCCAGAGAGATCATGCATCCTGTTCCAAGGCTTCCTCTCCGCATGTCATTTCAAGGACATGACTGAGAGTATGACCTGACCCCTGACAGATTGTTGCTCTTTCTTGTCCCGTGATCCCAGGTGGCATGTTCCCAAAGTTCTCCCCACCGCCTGGGGTCTATAGCTCCCCATGTTCTTTCCTCACCTCCAGGTCGTTGTGCTTTGCTTTGCTGTTGCATTTGGCAGCTTCTTTCAAGGCTATGGGCCTTATCCTTCTGCAACCAAGATGGCTCTGCCCAGCCAGCATCCCCTGTCAGAGCCATACACAGCCTCCGTGGGTAAGTCACCACTTTGTTATGTTTGCCTACTTGGTTTTCCAAGCCCTTTGCAAGGGATCTCATCCGATGTGTGAAAGTAGAGTGTCTCTGTTTGCAGGTGGGGTGTTCTGAGAGTGGCCACTGGACTCCCTGTGTAACACCAGGGATTCTCAAGAATTCCACAGAGAGTTCTTAGAAGTACCTACTGCTCCAGACTTGTTCTATGATAAGCTCTGACACCCCCCCCCTTGAGTTCTGATTTGGGGTGGGGAGGGTGATGTGGATCTTGGAAGACCAGAGAGTGAGGAGGACATTACGCTTGCTCTGATATCTCAGTCTCTGACTCCCTGAGTGGAATTATATGCTGTTGCAGGAAGAGTCTGCAACGAAATTAAAGAACTTGTCTGTCTTAGGCTCAAGACTTTGGATGCTCAGGCATTCGCTAGGCAGCATATAGTGTTCTCACCTTGACCAACAATATCTTCTGAGTATTTAGAAAACAGAGGGTGACAAGGAGGGAATGTACAGAGTGGCACAGCGTGTTAGTCACACCACACACAGAGTTAGAAGGCACCGGATTTAAGGAAGGGACAATTTCATCATTCTCAAAATGTCTGGATTTCAGCAGTTAGGTATATCCAGGCCAGACAGGTGATGCAATGATATTCTTTTCAGATAATTTCAGTGGCTTCTTGGGGATTTTCTGTCCCTAGGGAAGTAGCTTTAACTTTTGTAGGTTAAGGGGAGCACAGTTTCTATATCCGGGAAAATGGCTACAGAGTCATCTATGTGACTCTCCCATAACGCAACAGAGGTTGTCAACCCCCTCTGACTTGTTGGGTTGGCTTTGTGCTGTCTCTGCAGATTCTAAGACCTGCTTTCTGGAGATGCCTCCTCATTCAGCTAGGTTTTAACAGCTCCAAGTATTTAACCCCCCACCTTCTTTGAATTGTTCTCCCTGGGACAGTTACAGATAGGGGTGAGAGAAGTTTTACTTAAAGGCAGAGAGGGTGGAAGTTGGCTTATGTTTATTTGCTTTAATGTTCTTCCAGCCTGTAGAATTGGAATAATTTTTTTGATGCATAAGCTCTGAAACCTGAAGCCATTGCAGAAAGCCAAACCCAGCTGGCACTCCATCCCAGGAGATGAGAGTGTGTCGATTGTCATCTGTCACCGACCGGCCTTGGGCACTTGGAGTAAAGGGCATGTGTGGGCCTCGTGGTATTTTGCTAATATCCATTGCTCTATTCTTCCTTCAGTGAGATCAAGGAACCTGCTGATCTATGAGGAACATTCTCCCCTGGAAGAGTCGTCCAGCCCAGCCTCAGCTGCGGAGCTCGGGGGCTGGGACAGAGGCTCCTCTCTGCTCAGGGCGTCCTCTGGGCTTGAGGCCCTGCCAGAGGTGGATCTTCCTCATTTCATTATCTCCAATGAGACCAGCTTGGAGAAGTCAGTCCTGTTGGAGCTTCAGCAGCACCTGTGAGTCCTGTAGGTACAGACCTAGCAGTTGATGATGGAGTATGGATCGGCCCGGCAGGAGGGTGGACACTCTCCCAGAGGCCCTCTTGAGACCCACCTTAAGCACTGGCACTGGGAAGAGTCTGAGGATGCCTGTTAGCAAGGAAAAGGTCTAGGATGAGCTAATCTAGTCTCCACATCATCAGCCCAGAGATGGCAGTGATGGCCCCAAAGAGCAGGGGGGAATATGAGTCCCCTCAGCCACTAACTCTGTTTCTCTCTCATAGCCACAGACTGGCCATATGTGGTAGCACATACCTTTCATCCTAGCACTTGGCAAGAGGAGGCAGGAAAACCAGGAATTCAAGGCCAGCCTCAGCTTCATAGTGAGTTCACCGTTAGTTAGCCTGGGCTACATGAGACCCTATTTCCAAAGAACACTCGGTGACATAGAGAGCTTGTTCTGCAAATGCGCCTTCAGTCCAACTCTGTAGTTTCCTTCTAACTAGAGAGTACAATAATGCTATGCTAGGTATCAGTATAAGTGATGGTTTATGTGTGAGTGCACAACAGTTGGCTGTAACTGCAGATGAAGTGCCCTTCGTGTGAAATGCTTGGGACCAGAGATGTTGGAATAGTTTCCAGGTGTTAGAATAGTTGCACATACATAATGAGACCCAAGTCTAAACATGTCATTTATCTATGTTAGGTGACAAAGTTTTAGTTCTTAGAGCAGCTCAGAGTTTTAGTCTGAGGATGAGGGACGCTTAGCCTGTGTACATTTATATGTATATAGAGAGGGACAGCGCTGGCGAAACTGCGAGAATTTTTTTTTCCTCGTGGAAAATCATTCCTATTAGGCTCCAAGTCTGCACAAGGTGTTCCTCTCAGATAGCTGACGGGGAGGGGAGGGATCCTTTCTAAGACATCGTGGCTGATGCGATCTTAGGGTAGTTGTTGTAGGGAGCACTTGTGGGGGTCGCTGACCAGCATAGGAAGTGCACGTGCTCCCTCTGGGTGATGTATGGGGAAGCTGATGAGGTAGCTAATCTGTGCTCTTGGAGGCTCAGAAACGAGGCTGCTCCGGGATACCTAGTGAAGACTCCACCTCGCTTCTCTCCCAATGCTTTGCAACAGAGTTCATAATCATATGTACTTTCATATGTATACATGACATGTACATGTTTAACAGTAGTGCTAACCATGCCCAAATATGTTATCAACAAATCTTGTAAGAATCCTATGGTGAATAGCCTTCATTTATTCCCATTGTGGAGAGAACCTGGAGCCAATACTGGAAGCCCCTGGAGACTGAGCTGCTAGGTGACAAGTGGCTCTCAGCACAGTCTGCTGTCCCAGCTCAGGGTTTGGAAGCCCATCCTGACCCCTCCCTCTGTTTACTGCTGTGTCTCCTTAAGTACTAAAGCTTCCCTGACCCCCATTGTAATTCTGGGAGACTTAGTGAGCTGACATACAAGTTGATCTTGTGTTTATTTTATAGCATATATTCTGGGATATCTTAAGTCGAGTCATTAAAAAAAAAATCATTGTCTGGATTCTTAATTCTAGAGCAGATGTCAGCCCTTACCCTTCTTTCTCCCAATCCATAACTTAAAGCACTGAAGTCATTAATATACAGTTAACAGCCATTAAAAGCAATTTAAAATAAGTCAGCTTCAAACTACCGTAGGTCTCCTCTGTGCCCAGATAAAGATTGGGACGTGGGGGTAAGCAGGTGACTAGTGGGAGATCCAGGGAGCCAAGAACTACCATAAGGCATTTAAAAGACTCTGTCAGGGTCAGCCCACATGACTAGAATTGAATCATGTTATGGAGTCTGAGAATTCGGGCAAAAGCTGGTGGCTAATACTCTTCCTCTCCGTTTGATGCCTTCTCAGGGTCACCAGCCAACTGGAAGGGAATGAAACACTCAAGGTTGTAGAACTGGAGAGGAGAGTGAACGCCACCTTCTAAGGAGATCTCCACCCTCTTCTTCTCCATCTGAGCATCCCCAGTCTGCCCTGCTCTTAAGTTCCCCCTTCACCACTGGATTGCCAGGAGGATATGGACTAGTGTTACAGCTTGAGACGGGAGGCCAGCCCAGGGGTTTCTGCTTGTATGTCCCCGTGGCTCTCCACACAAGGGAGCTAGCACCTCCCCATCCCTTTCTCTTACTGCCATTGGACATTATTTTAAGGGTGAGGTAGGGGTGGAACGAGCAGGCTTGTTTCCACCAATAGTGCCAAGAAGATACTGCCTGATTCTTCCTCGTGAGGCGTGACTCCTCTGAAGAAGACATGACTCCTGTTCAGTTGAGACCCCAGACTCTAGCCACACGTATGCCACAAAACACGCCAGGGAGTGACAAAGCACTGACTCCTGAGCTCTCTTGCTCGTTAGGCCTCCGGTGTGACCCTGCCCGCACTGAGAGGACCAAAGCATCATTCCAGTCTTGTCTCCATCCTGCACACTGGAGTCCTTATTGGATGCCTGCACAGGCAGACCGGACTCCCACCATATTTTCAGGCCGCAAGTGCAATTCCTGAAGGCATCAGGCTCTCCCCCTCCAGGCTATCCTGCCTGCTATGTTGCTTGTAGGATACCCCACACCCACCCGTACACAGCCTGCATCCCCACAGGACAGTAGCTCTGTTTCCCTGGCCTCCCCTCCCCATTTGTAAATAGTATTTATTAGCTTGCTGAAGCTCCCAGCTGACTATAGTAAAAAGATTTCTCCTTCCATCCAGCAAAGCCTTCTGTTGGCCTTTGGAACAGGAGAGTCCCCAGGATCTGGGGCCCCGGTCTTTGTAGTTAATGTCTTGTTTCCTCCTTTTCTTTTTAAAATTGGGGACCTATAAAGTAATCGCTGTTGAGGAATTCCCTTAGGCATGTGTCCCCTGTTGGATGAAGATATGGGAATGGTGGAATACCGTCTTCTTGCTCAGGCCCGAGGCTCTGTGGCTTTCTCTCTCTGTTCTCACCACAGAGAAGGGAAGCTCTGTCCTGGACAACAAGCTTTGCTGACAACCTTGCTAGTTCGTCCTGCACACTTGCTCACCCCCCTCCCTCGCCTTCCTCCTCCCTCCTTCCCTCCATCCACCTGCCTTAACTAACCGGGGCTGGAGTTGGTCATTTCTCTACATCCACAGTGGCACCTTTTACAGTCAGGTTCCGATACCTTGCAGCTCACCCAAAGAGACATAGCTAAACCCTAAACTCTTTTTCTTTTTATAATGATTAAAAAGTACAAATCGTAGTTTAAAAAAATCCTTTCTTCTTTCATACAAAAAAGAAATGGAAATTACTCTTTTATTGTACAAGATAGAAGATTCTTTTAAAGTGTTCCCCCACCAACCCCAGCTTGTAAAAGATTTTATGTAAGAAATGTGCTTACACTTTGTATTTTATTTTTAGCAGCAGCTAAAAGGCCTGTAGTTTTTGTGTCCCTCTCCTCTCTCTCTCTCTCTCTCTCTCTCTCTCTCTCTCTCTTTCTCTCTCATCATCATCATCATCTCTGAGATCACTAGAGCCTGTATAAAGGGGATTATGGCCCTGCATTTTATGTCATGTATAGGGTTTGGTGTCATTAATGTTTGCCATCATGCCCCGTGAGCGGCTCCTTACTTGGTCTGCTCAGGACATCATAGAGAATGTTCCTTGCCCCCATCCCTCCCTCCCTCCTTCCCTCCCTCCCTCCCATGGTGAGTTCCCAGCTGGCAAATGGCCAAGCTCACCTTGTAGTGGGTAAAACCTGCCTCAGGGCCACTGCTATCTTGGCAGCCCTCCTGCTTAAGAGGTTGTCACCCTCCCTTACAGGGTATAGCCTGGGCTATACAAAGAGGGTGGCTAATGATCTCTCTCTCTCTCTCTCTCTCTCTCTCTCTCTCTCTTTCTCCCTTTGGTCTTCCTGAACCTAGCCCATTCTTCTCTTTACAATGCCAGATATTTATACAGCATAAACTTTAAAAAATGCTGAAGAACCTAAGCAGGAAAAACCCTAGGGTTAGGCAGTGTTCGTATGATGAGAGAAGAAGGGTTTGCCATAGAGAGCTGAAGTGGTGTTTTAGACTCACGTGTGCATTTGCTGAGCTGAACCTTGGTCTTTTGATGTGCCCAAAGAGCTGTGTCGAGACCCCATTTATGCAGGAGGAGGAAGAAAATGAGGAAGAGGAAAAGGAAGAGGAGGAAGAAGAGGAAGAGAAGGAGGAGGAAGAAGAGGAGGAGTAGGAAGAGGAGGAGGAGGAGGAGGAGGAGGAGGAGGAGGAGGAGGAGGAGGAGGAGGAAGAGATGTCCAGTTACATCCTTAGTTCTCTGAGGACTTTATTTTCTTCTCTACCTACTCTTTTGGGTGCCATTGTCTCCAGACAGCAGGGCCCCCTGTCTCTGGGAAATTAGCCTTCCAGAATAGAATCTGTAACAAGAGACGTGGGACATAAGCCAGAGAACTCAAACAGCCCTTTAAAGGAGCTCTCAGCAACCAACACCACCACTCTATGAGAAAAACCTCTGCCCTTTCCTCCTGGCTTGCTAGTGAAGGGGACTAAGCCAGTGGTCCCTCTGGGACGCTCCGTGGAGTCAAGGGATCCAGGAGAGACGCACGAGACCAGGTGGATTAGGAGCAGTTAGTGGATGTGTGCACACTTTTTGTTCAAAGTTTAAGGCTAGAATATTGTTTTTTCTCACCGACTGAGGTGTCCTGCAGACCAGTCAATACCTTATGGTTATATCTGAAGGTTTTAAATAGTGGTTGACCCAACGCCTTGAACTGAAAGTTTGAAAAATTTTGAAAAAGACTGCTAGACTTAGAAGCCAGAACAAATTCTGCTGGATGTATTTTCTATTTTATAAACAGCCCCCACCCCCATTTTAAAATCACTTTAGTGATGGAGATGTCTCACAAAGATTTAGAGAACCAGGTTTTTTTTTCCCTCCATGAGACCTGAGGGACCCATTCGACCCTTCCCCCTGGATCTTTTCACAGCTCCAGACTTCACACTGGGAAGTGGGTCCTGTAAATGGAGGAGTCATCCCCAGCATTGATGAAAAGCCTCTGAAGTGTCAGGACCGCGGTGTGGCTCATGCAAAGAGAGTGTTCTATAAAAATCTGACAGCTGAACTCAGTTGCTCCTTCCTGGCAGAAGGTGGGGGTGGGGTCTAACATCAGTGCAGGCAAAATTAGGTAACTATTCAGTTCATAGAAAGGATTCTGTGTGTTGGGAAAACTGATTTGGGGCCGCATTATTTACAAACTACACACACCAGGTTGATAGATACCCCCTCTTAAGCACCAGTTCCTCTTGGATGCCCACAGCATCCCTGCAACCGTTGTCCACAGACCAGCAGGGATATCAGACGGCTTCCTCTTCATGTCCATCAGTTTTAACCACAGGTCTTGTTAAAATTCTCTGCAGCACTTCATGTCCCCTCACGTCCCGTGTGCTCAGACCCAGAAAAAGCAGAACAGAATAAGAAGTGCCTCTGAGCCAGCCCCTGTGCCTCTGTGAGGTGTATCCGTGAGCCCCCATGGAGAAATGGAGACATCTTGTCCCCACCTGAGGAGTGGACCTCTGCCAGATCCTTGCCAACGCGGAGGGGCGGAAATGGGAGAAAAAGCTTTTAGTTGCTAATTTGTTTCCGCTGAGCCGGGTGTTTGAGAAGCCGGGATGAGAACTTGGCCCTCCCACTCGGGCCTGGCAGGACCTGTGGAGCCATTAACGGTGGGGGTCTTAGCGAGAACCACTTCATTACAACACTTGCTGCAGAGGCAGTGAGCAGAGCAGGATAAGTTCTGCTTCCACCCGACAAAGGCAGTTGTGGGAGTGGAGAGAGCAGTAAGATGGGGGCTGGAAGGAGCCAGACACAGATTCTGGTTCATTCATTCATTCATTCATTCATTCATTCATTCATTCATTCATTCCTTAGACTTTTGCGGTTTTACTAAGGAAGAACAGGTTTCCTGAGACATAGGAAATCTTGGGGAATAAGAGGGACTTGGAAAACCAGGTTTAGTAGCCATTCAGAGGACCCAAGTATTAATGCTAGGTCTCTCCCCCTCCCCCTCTCTCCTAGGTACTTAATTATGCCTCCAATGTGCCTTGTATCTCAATCCAGGATGCAGAAATCCCCTGTCCCTGGACGGTGTCATATATTACTATCTAGTATTAGGTTGAAGTTGGGGGTGGGTGTTTTCTCTGTAGACACAGAGATGGTTCCCTCAAAGTGAGCCACTATTAGATTTGCCCATCAGGGGTAAAGAAATGGGGTTACATCCATTAGGAAAATCCCATTTTGTAGATGGAGGTGCAATCACATAAAAATGTGGCCAGGCAGGATTAGAGGCATTCTAAATCCTTACCACAGGGCATTTTCTGGATGCAAAGGCACTATCCCATTTGAAAATTAATATTCCGTGCCTCTGGGCCAAGATGTCAGCGTTCTGCACTAGGAGAAAAACAGTGACTGCTGTTTGTTCCAGCATGAAATTCAGGACTTCCATACTTTCTCTTGGTTTCTAAAAGGAAGTCTTTCCTGAGTATTTTTCTAAAGTGTTGAGTATTGTTCTAAGTAAACCTCGAGCCTTTGAACCTGATTGAAATGGAAAGCAAGGGTGACTCATTGCCAGGAGAAGTAAATGCCTTGGAAGGTACATAGTTTCTGGAGTCCTTTCTGAGGACACACAGAATGTCTCTGGCTCTCTGAGCAGAAACAGATCTACCCACTGCAGTGGCCTGATCACGCAGTGCTCAGCTCTTTGGCTCACTCTGCGTGTCTGTCTCATCCTATCTTCTGAGAATGTGGTTCACAGGCTTTGTGTCTGGGTGAAGGGAACCCAGGTTTAGGCTCCACATCTCTGCTTCTGTCTTCTCCTCAGCAGCAGGGTGGAAGCAGGACTTTTGTGCACTCATGGCCTTCGCAGATGAAGCCCATGATGAATCTGTGGGAAACACCAACAATCATGCACCCTGTGGGTGACGCTCCTGACACAGAGCAGAGCAGAGCCCGGGAGGTGCCAAAGGCATTGGTGAGCTTTCCTTGCCTAGACTGGCAACCTACTTTGCTCTCTTTTGAAAGACTCTAGATAAGTCAGTGTTGTTTAAATCCAAGGGCATTGCAAGTCTGTGACCTGATCTGTTGCACTGTCTTATGCCTTCTTATTCTTCATCATAGCTAATTAAATACCAAAAATAAAAAATAAAATAAAAAAGCTTTGTAGTATACTTGTACTTAGTTTGGGGAAAATGAAATTGTAATGCATTTGTATATCCATTTCTTGCAAATAAATATTTTTCTTAGTCAAATGTTGCCCAACCTTTAATTTCTGGTAACCTGATTTCAAAGGTATTTACCTTTGTGTGTGTTTGTGTGTTTGTGTGTGTGTGTGTGTGTGATGTGTGATGTGTGATGTGTGTTGTTTGTGTGGTATGGAGTATGTGTGGTGTGTGATGTGTGTGTGTGTATAGACATTTTTTCCCTAATTATCTAGCCAAACAGCAAAAGTAGGCTCAGGCCAATGATTTTTTCATTCTGTGGTGCTAAATCTGAGTCTCCACTGGAGGAATATAATGTTGAAAAATGCAATTTTTTTTTCAGCCAGTGGCAGAGAATCAGTTTTCTCCTGAGATTCGTGTGGTCTGGCTGCTGTGTTTGTTGTCTCCTACAGTTATTCCCTAACTACATTCCCAGAATCTATGGGTTTGATTTTGCTTTTCTCCAGTCTGGAGGCTTGAGACTGATGCTTTGGATCTGAGCCAAAAAGGAATGGGCCTTGCTCATAGGAGCAGCTGGGGAGGAGGCCTCACGACTTGTGCTCCAGAAAGGCCCATGAAATGGCGGATAAAGGTCAGTGCACTCAAGCAGAATGAGCTTCCTTGCCCTGCGCTCTAGATCCAGTCATTTTTCTCCACTCAGAGAGAGCAGAGCTTTCTCTGAATCTCAGGAAGACAGGCTGGGGCATAGCTCAGTTGGTGGAGCACGGCCTGATGTGTACGAAGTTCCATATCTCGTTAAGTGAGCAGGCTGCTGCAGAGCTCTCAAGAGGTCGGTGCCTCGTTCCTTTCTGTTACTTTCTTCGTTCATCTGTCATCTAAATGCATGGCCTTTTGGCTACGTGACAGTTGATTCGGCATAGGGGTCAGGAGAATAAAAACAAAGGGAAAGAGACTGGATTGGTGGTGGACAAAGAAGAGGTAGAGGGATGATTTTACCATGGGTGAGAAGAAATGAGTGGGCCTGAGCAGAAAGGTTGTGAAGTATGGAAAATGTCTAAAAAGTCTTTTCATGATACATAAATGGACTTCCAGTCTGCAGCCTATTTTTCCTCTATCCAGAGATAAAACATTTATGATTTTTAAAGTAATTCTGCTTTGATTTTTTTTAAAGATTCTT